ACGACTTTGAGGCCCTCGTCATGCGTCGTGTTTATGACTTGGCGGGAACTACCAAGGTGGGCGTCAAGTTGAACGGCAGCCGTATCCCGATCCGCACTTTCAAGAAGTACATGGAAATGTTCACCAAGGCCATCCGCAGAGAACGTGGTGACGATGGCCCCGGAACCAAGGATGAGATCATCACTTGCAGCCCCGATCCGCGCTGGGAGATCGGTTTCGCCGTGTCAGATGGCGCCTTCCAGCAGGTCTCGTTTGTGAATTCCATCGCTACGACCTCGGGTGGTACCCATGTAAACTACATCGCGGACCAGATCTGTAACCGGCTGGCCGACGAGGTCAAGAAAAAGAACAAGAAGGGTGCCACTCTCAAGACTGCCCAGATCCGGAACCACATCTTTATCTTTGTCAATTCATTGATCGTCAACCCAGCCTTCAACTCCCAGACCAAGGAACAGCTCACCACCAAGGCATCCCAATTTGGCAGCAAGTGCCCTCTTGAGGAAGAGTTCTACAAGAAGATCCTCAAAACCGAAGTCATGTCCAACATCCTGCACTTCGCCGAGCAAAAGGCCGACCAGATGCTGAAGAAGAGCGATGGCGGTCGCCGTTCTCGCATCAATAATCCCAAGCTGGTCGATGCCAATAAGGCTGGCACCAAGGACGGTCATCACTGCACGCTGATCTTGACAGAAGGTGAATCAGCCAAGGGTCTGGCCATGGCTGGCCGTGCCGTTGTCGGTCCGGATCTGTTCGGTGTCTTCCCTCTGCGTGGTAAACTGCTCAACGTCCGTGATGCGTCGTTCGATCAGATTTCGAAGAACGCGGAAATCCAGAACATCAAGAATTTCCTCGGCCTTCAGCACAAGAAGGAATACACTGATACCCGCAGTCTTCGTTACGGTCACCTGATGATCATGACTGATCAGGATCATGATGGAAGTCACATCAAGGGTCTGCTCATCAACTTCCTTCAGGCACAGTTCCCTAGCTTGCTGAAGATTCCGGAATTCTTGATTGAATTCATTACTCCCATTGTCAAGATCTGGAAGGGAGACCCCAAGAATCCTACCAAGCAGCGCTCCTTCTTTACCATGCCCGAATATGAGACCTGGAAGGAAGAGCACAGCCACGAGCGTGGCTGGGAACACAAGTACTACAAGGGTCTGGGTACTAGCAGCACGGAGGATGCTCAGGTCTACTTCCGGGACCTGGACCGCCACCTGAAGGAATTCCACACCATGCAAGATCATGAAGCAGGGCTCATTGAACTGGCCTTCTCGAAAAAGAAGGCTGACGAGCGTAAGGAATGGTTGCGCCAGTTCCGTCCGGGTACCTACCTTGACCACTCTGTCGCCAAGATCAGCTACACCGACTTTATCAACAAGGAGTTGATTCTGTTCAGTATGGCGGATAACATTCGGTCCATCCCCTCGGTCGTGGATGGGCTGAAGCCCGGTCAGCGCAAGGTCCTGTACACCTGTTTCCGGCGTAACCTCAGGAAGGATATGAAGGTCGTCGAATTGGCGGGTCACGTCTCGGGTATGACCGCCTACCATCACGGTGATGTCTCATTGCAGCAGACGATTGTGGGCCTTGCCCAGGACTTTGTCGGTTCGAACAACATCAACACCTTGGAGCCTAGTGGAAACTTTGGTAGTCGACTACAGGGTGGTTCCGACGCCGCCAGCGCTCGTTACATTTACACGCGCCTGTCGCCTTTTGCGCGGCGGATCTTCCATGCACAAGACGAACCGCTGCTCACTTATAACGAGGATGATGGCGCAAAGATTGAACCTGAGACCTACATGCCAGTCGTGCCCATGATCTTGATCAATGGCTCGGATGGTATCGGTACCGGTTGGAGTTCCAACATTCCGAACTACAACCCCGAGGACGTGGTCGAAAACCTGAGGCGGATGCTTGAGGGCGAGGAAATTAAGCCCATGACCCCTTGGTTCAAGGGCTTTAACGGTGAAATCACTCCGCTTGGCGGGGACCGGTACAAGTTCAGCGGTATCATCAAGGAGACCGGAGACAAGGAGGTCGAGATCACTGAACTACCAATCCGTACTTGGACTCAGGACTTCAAGGACAAGCTGGAGGAAATCATCAAGGGCGATAAGACTCCGTCGTTCATCAAGGACTACAAGGACTACAACACGCACACCAAGGTCCACTTTGTTATCCAGATGGATGAGAAGAACTTGCAGGCCGCCATGAATCATGGCTTGGAAGACAAGTTCAAGCTCTCCAAGACCCTCGCGACGACCAACCTGGTCGCTTTCGACCCCGAGGGCCGGATCACCAAGTACGCTACAGTCGATGATATTCTCAAGGAGTTCTACACCATCCGTCTCAAGTACTACGAGCGTCGCAAGCAGTACCAGCTGAACGAGATGCAGAGAGAGCTGGACAAGCTCACCAACCAAGCACGTTTTGTCCAAATGATCATCGATGGTGACCTGGTTGTTTCCAAGAAGAAGAAGGCTGTCCTCATCAGTGAGCTGAAGAGTCGTGGATTCAAGCCCTTCCCCAAGGTCGCGGAGGCGGTCAAGGCTGGCGAAGCAGAGCCTGTGGTTGAGGAAGAGGAAGAAGAGGACGCGGCAGACGTCGAAATTGCCTCCAACGCCTACGACTATCTGTTGGGCATGGCTATCTGGTCCTTGACCCAGGAACGCGTTGACAAGCTGCGTAAGCAAATTGGCGAAAAGGAGATGGAGATCGACGCTTTGATCAAGCTGTCCAAGGAGGACATTTGGAAGAAAGACCTGGAAGACTTTATCAGCGAGTGGCGCTTCCAGCTCGAGGATGCAGACCGTCGCCAGCGTAAGATCTCGGGTATGGGCCGTCGCACGTCAATGAAGCTCATGACCGGTGGTCGTGCTCCCGCCAGAAAGCGCAAGGCGGCCCTTGGCGATGATCCCGACGATGAAGACTTTGGTGCGCCTAAGACTAAGAAGTCTGCTGCTAAGAAGGCTGAGCCCAAGGGGGGTTTGATGAACTATTTACAGAAGCCTGCAGCCAAGCCTTCACCAGTTCCCAAGTCCGACGACGAAGGTTCTGACGACGACTTTGCCATAGAGATAATGCCCAAGAAGAGCCGTGCCGCGCCCAAGGCCAAGCCGGCGCCAGCGCCAGAGCCGGAGCCGGAGCCCAAGGACGAGGACGAGGACGAGGACATGGATGATGAGCCGGTGGTGGCGAATAAGGGTCGCGGAGCATCTAAGTCTGCGTCTAAGTCGCCGAAGGACGAGGATGAGAATGAGGATGATGACTTTGTCGATGCGCCGGAAGCTCCTCCTAAGAAGAGTCGGGGTGCGGCTGCGTCAAAGGCACAGCCCAAGACCAAGGCCAAGAAGGCGGCGAGTGACGACGACGACATCTTTGAGGTAGAGGAGCGTCCTAAGAAGGGTCGCGCAGCAGCGAAGCCGAAGCCCAAGCCCAAGGATGATGAGGACGAAGATGATGACGATGTTTTTGAGGTGGATGAGCCGCCAAAGAAGGGTCGTGCAGCAGCGAAGACGAAGTCCAAGCCGATGGACGACGATGAAGACGATGAAGACGATGAAGACGATATCTTTGAAGTAGAGGAGCCACCAAAGAAGGGTCGCGCTGCATCCAAGGCCAAACCCAAGCCGAAGGATGACGATGATGACGATTTGGACGACGATGATTTCGCCCAAATCACCAAGTCCGAAGCCTCCAAAACTCAGCCCAAGCCCAGCCGAGCGGCCCGCAAGCCGGTCAAGTACGCGGGTCTAGATGACTCGGAGAGTGACTTCGGAGACGACATGCTCGGCGATGTCAGCAACATGGTCAAGGGCATCGGTGATAAGGCAGGCGACGATTCTCGTCAATTCTTCTCCGAGCGGTCTCGTCCGACCAGCAGCTCCGATTTAAAGGCAGTGACCGCCAAGCCCTCTCCCAGGCGACTGTCTTCGGAGTTTGATGCGGATGAGACTGACTACAGCAAGTTGGTGCCTCAGAATTCGCCTCGCCGGTCGATCCAGGTCAAGCCTAAGGAGTCCTCTAAGCTCGAGGATGACGATGAAGAGGACGAGGAGCCCGCGAAACCTGCGTCCAAGGGCAGAGCGGCCGCCAAGGGCAAAGCTGCCGCACCCAAGGCTGCTCCTAAGGCTCGTGGCCGGCCGAAGAAGGACGCTACGACCGCTACAAAGGCACCCGCAACCAAGCAGACGACAATGTCTCCTGCCGCCAAGGCGTACCAGGCTAAGCAGACCAAGACGACCAAGAAGAAGCTGGCGGACGACTCGGACGATGACATTGACGCCTTAGCCAATGACATTCTGGACTCGCCGGCGGGCAAGAAGGATGAGGAGTCAGAGGAAGACGAGGCACCTGTGCGCAAGCCGGCCGCTCGACCTTCGCGACGTACAGCAGCTACAAAGAAGTCGTACACGGTTGATCCGTTTAGCGATGAAGGGGACGAAGATTCGGCGGACGATTTTGATGAGGATAGCGAGTAGGTGTTTGATGTGTGACCTTTATGTTACTTACCACTATCGTGCTATGATTTCCTTTGTCTATATTTAATATTGCCATGTTATTGTACTTAGGTGTTAATCTGCATTACTGTTCATGGATCTGTCCTATACTTGGTAGGGGCATATCATATCGGAGTACTTGCCCTACTCTGGATATCACTCGGAGATAGATACCCCGAGCCGAGCTTGGAACTCCGACCCGAATCGGCCAGAAGTCCGACCCGAGTCGGGTTTGCTGTGTTTGCTTTCTTATTTTGCTTTGTACTTGTTTGCCATTTGCTAGGATTACACTATACTGACAATTAAGTGTATTTGTAGGTTGAACATAAAGCGAACCGGAGATGTCGGCGATGTACGGAGTACAGTACTCGAAGTTGCCAAACGGGGATAAACGGAGATCAGACAAGCTTTTTCAGAGTTAGACCCAACCCCGATAACAAAACAGGTCAGAACTCGGTCCACCGAGATAAAGAACTCGTCCGAGTCGGCGCCGGTATCCATCGATCATTAATCAGCCGAGAATTCTTTTTTTCAGGCAGGTCTTTTAATTCCTGCTTCCCCTTTGCTTTCTTTCCTCTTTTGAGGTACAGACAGACAGAATGCAGGCCTACCTCCAATATCGCCGCATAGGCCAGGCCGTGCAGAAGCAACTCGACGACTATCCCGAACTAGCGCATCTGCCCCAAGACCGGGGACAAGCTCATCAAGTCCTAGAACAACCGGAAATAGACACAAAGCCTGAACTCTCAACCCTCCCCCCAGGCATCCAACCCTATCACTACACCGACCCCGCCGGAAAACAATCAACAATATACCTAGTAACCTGGGCCGACGAACATGATACCCTCAACCCCCAGAACTACACCCTCGCCTCGAGACTCGCAGCGACGCTGAATGTGACTGCACTAGCGTTCATCGTCGGCGCAGCATCATCAATCGAATCGGGCGTGTTACCGCAGAACGCAGCTGCGTTTGAGGTTAGCGATGTCGTTGCTTCGCTGGCGACGGGGATCTATCTACTAGGGTTCGCGGCGGGATCGCTTGTCTCCGGGCCATTGTCTGAGGTTCTAGGACGGAATGCCGTGTACGCGGGATCTCTTACGCTGTTTATGATTTGGGAAATGGCATCTGGTCTGGCGCCGAATATTGGTGCGCAATTGGCATTTCGGTTTTTAGCTGGTATATTCGGGTGTCCACCCCTAACCTGTGCGGGAGGGACAGTGGCGGATTTGTGGAATCCGCTTGAGAAAACGCTTTTGTTTCCTATGTACGCCATCCTCTCCTTCGGAGGACCTGTGCTTGGCCCCGTGATCGCGTCGTGGATGGGGCAGGGTGTATTGTCGTGGCGGTGGACGAGCTGGATTATCCTCATTGCGTCGGGGCTAGTCATGGCCACAGTCATCCTCTTCCAGCCAGAAACCTACTCCCCCTTACTCCTAAAATGGAAAGCCCAACAACTCCGCCACCGAACAGGAGATAACCGGTTCCACGCAAGAATGGAGTTGGAAAAAACCGCCCTATTCACACGCATGACGGGTGCTTGTTTCCGCCAATTCGAACTAACCATGCACGAACCTATCATTTTGCTGATATCGCTATACATGACAATAATCTACATTGTGTTGTTTACTTTCTTCGACGGATACGAGTATATTTATACCGATGTGCATGGTCTCTCGCAGGGTCTTACGAATATCGTTTGGGTGGCGATGTATTGCGGGATTATGTTGGTCGCACTGCTTGTGCCGTTGGTGTATCGGTGGACGAAGCGTGAGTTTGAGGCTGCTGCTGCGGAGGCAGAGCCTGGGGTCGATGGGAAGAAGAAGGTTCATACACGTCCTGAGAACAGACTTTGGTTCGCTATGATGGGTGCACCGTTTATTCCTATCGGATTGTTTTGGATGGGTTGGACGGATTATGTACGTCCCCTCCCCTTCACCCCTCCCAATCTACAAAGATACTAACAAACAACTAGAGCAATATCTCAATCTGGTCCCCCATAGTCGCCTCCACGGTCTTCGGCTTCGGCACCATAACCGTCTTCATCTCCTCCTACATGTACGTTATCGACTCCTACGACATCTATGCCGCCTCTGCACTCGGTTTCATGACTGTATCGCGGTACGCGGCGGCCGGTGGAATGACGGTCGTGGGAGTGCCATTTTATAAGAATATGGGGGTGCAGTATACGTTGACGATATTGGGCTGTATTAGTGCGGTTATGACAGTTGTGCCGTATGTTTTTTATCGGTGGGGGCATGTTATAAGGGGGTGGAGTCGGTATGCTGTTAATAAGTAGCTCTGCAGCCCGGATGGAGGACGGGGTGCAAAGTGTGAAGTGCAAAGTGCAGAGAATGAACTATGGATGAGTACAGGTTGATGACAGGCAGGTCTGTATAAAGTCATGACTTACAACATGGAAAAAGCATAGACTAGACGATAGATATAAACTAAAGTAACTAACTAATTAGACTAACTGACTAATAATACTATGATTAAAACAAACGACGCCTCTATACCCATGTACTTGTAATCAATCATCATAACATAAGCATAACACATTATCTGGTCTCACCCTGCTCAACAAAGCCAAACCAAGGCAAGTAAGCACTAAGCAGACGCCCGTCTTCTTTTCTGACTCTGTCCCCGGCTGTATGTATGCTGCTGCCGCTGGTAAACACCCATCAACGACGATGCCGGCACCGACGGCGACACATCCTCATCAGCCTCATCACACTCACTCCCACTCGCATCCTGCATATGCAAGCTTAGCAACGCATGCGCAGCCTTGACCTCCTTCACAAAAAGTGCGTTACCATTACCATCGGCCTTTCGTTTCCGACTGGGCATGGGTTCATTCGAGCTGTCATTATTGTTATTGCTATTGCAATCATCTTTATCCATATCGACGAATGAATAGTCACTCCAGGAGCTGCTGATTTCGGAGTATGCAGTTGATGGGGAGGAGGTTTCTTCGTCGGTTGTTGTGCCGGGGCTGGGAGTGGGGCTTGTTCCTGTGGAGGCTTGGTCGATGGTGCTTGTGTTTGTGTTGACCTTGGCGGAGATGGAGGCCAGGACTTGCTGTGGCGTGGGTATACTGATACCAGCACTAGTCCCAGGGACAGAAGCAGAGAAAGCAGCAGAGGAAGTGTAAACATCCACACTCCTGGGAGTATTCACCGGCGTAAACGTATTCCCACCCCGATACGAGCCCATGCTCACTGGTGACACGCAGTATGCATCGGAGTACTCATCGATACCAGAGCCGTACCCACTACTCGCCGTCCCGGAGGTAACACTCGCGTTCGAACTCAGACTATTCGCATATTTCCTAGACCGTGGAATAGCTTTCTTCCTCGCGACGAAACTATCCGACGAGGACGTAGGCCGGCCAGGACTAGAATCGGGTATGGAGGTAGTGCTAGTGCTGGTGCTGAACGGCAACGACCGCAGTTCCAAACTGCGATAGTACCTCGCTGTCTGCGTGGCCCGTTGAATAACAGCCCTGTCGATGATCATACGATTGAAACGTGTGCGGTCGTGCGGATGGATGCAAAGCGACGGAAAATCAGGCCCGAAGAGCGGGACGAGGACGTGTCGGATTTTATAGCAGAATGTTGCGGCTAAGGCTTTGGCGACGTCATAGGGGACCCAATATCCTGGTTGTTTTTGTGTTAGTTCTGGGTATGAAGATAGAGAGGAAGGGGGAAGGGTACCTTGTGCTTCTGTTGCGCCGCCGGTGATGCTGTGGGATATTTCGGAGAGGCCTGGGTTTGCCTTCATGGCTTTGCCTATTGTTGTCTGTGGTTTTTAGTATAGGCTGTTAATTGGAAAAGATGGATGGTATACCTTTGAATGCCCATTGCTCTTGAACAGATGCGTCATCCTAACAAGCCCGATATTATAATCCCACATTACCCACCACGGCTCCTCGCTCTCAGCCTGACCAGGCAACTTGAACTGGTAATAGAACACTATCACCATCAGCACACCCACACCATAGCAAACAAGTCACAAAAAACAAACTCACCCTCAAGCGAATCCCTCCCCGTCAAGCCCTGAAACGTCTTCTTATCACTATTATATGGTACATGCCATGGCCTTTCCCTTATATCACCCACACCCATGGGCTTCATCCGAAATTCTCGATGAATACTTGCCAACTCATCGTCGCGCTCCTCGTACGGTGGATATCGTAGTTCGCCGCGAATAGGGCCTTTTTTGCGAGGGAGACCTTTGGATTTTTGCTTCTTGTGGCCGTGGGCGGGCGCTGCGTCAGGTTTGGGTTTTCGGGGGGGAAGGGGGGAGGAGCTGGGGAGGCTGAAGGGAAATTGTTGGTCTGGCAGGGGGTTTAGGAGGGCTTGGATTGTTGACATTGTGGTGTTGAGATGAACGAATGCCCACGCGTAGAAGAGTAAGAGGTGGTAAGATGGAAATGCTAAATGGAAGAGAGAGAGAGAGAGCGTTTTAACACCTAAAACAGACGAAAAGACTTTTTTCAGAAGACCAGAGACAAAACACAAAAGGCATCAAAGAAGACTAAAGACAAGACGAACAAGACAAGATTAACGAGAACGATGAACAGCTGAAAGATGAAAAGATCCAGAAGAAAAACCACAGGGAGAAAACGAGATATGTACCAAGACAGATGTCTCCGAGACTGTAAATAACACCAAAAAGACAGGACAGTAATTACATCCGTTTCAAAGTGTGCTGGGGGTAGTCACGCCAGGCTGTGTTCTTCTCGCCTTTGTCAGAGTAGGATTCTAGGATGGTCCTGCACCTGCACGGGGCAACAGACTTTCCCCTCAAAAAGTGGATCTGTGATAGTATCTGGCAGAATTAGAATAAAATAGAAATTGAAAAATGAAAAAGACGGTAGTACTCTGGGTGGCGTTTCCTTTCTGCACATGGACATTGGACAAACAGAATGCAGTCTCTTCGAGGCAATGCACTGACAGGGTTGCGGTGACCGGCTCGTCTGGTTGGAGACGACCAGGATGTGAAAATGCAGATGCAAATGTCTTGAACAATAAAATCCCAATCTCATATCACCAGGAATCGGTCCTTGAACTAAACGAGACATCACGGGGTTCCTGAAAATCAAAACGAGTCCTTGCCCTATTTTGGCACAACGCCCCTTCGGGAGTTTATCAAAACTCAATCAATGTTCAACAATACCGGCTTTTGTGACAGATTGCTCCAAACCATGTGCACGCGGAACCTAAACACTGGTCGTCATTAACGGTATCCTCCCCTCAATAGACATCCATCGCCTCAACTTCGAGGCCCAATTGTGTTGCACTGTGTCATCTGCAGATACCCACGGCGTGAATACAACACTGCGTCTTTTTTAGAGACATCGTCTTAGAGACTCTTGCATCATTTGCAAACATGTGGAGCCTTGCATGGCTCAGAATTGGGATTCTGAATCAACTGATCCACGACCTGCCGATGCAAACAAATGCAGTATCAGTTTGGCAGATACAAGCTAGTCTCAAATGCTATGCATTAACGCGCATAATTAGCCATGGACGATGGACGCGTGGGTGTCAGAGTTGACAGGGTATCGCAAGGTATCGTTGTATCCTGTGACCTTGTTCTCCTGGCTATTACCACGTTTCCCCACCGCTTACTCGTCTTCTTCTTCTCTGTTGGGTATAGATCTCCCGTAACACCACATCTAAACTCGACCAAAGTAGCACCAGCTGTTGCCGTTAGACCGGAACATATTGGCCTTTTTCACCCGAGCACGCACGCACGTAATAGGCGGACGGAACGGGAACAACGGCGCTTGCCTTTCGTTCGAAAGAGTACAGGCCCCAGGCTCCAGGCTCCAAAAGAGGTCTTAGACACGGCAACCTGCATGGGCGCTCTGTTTTCTTGGTATGACGGGAACCGCGATTGACATCCTACCAACGAAACGGGAAGGTTTACTTCCGATAACTAAAGCGGGAACGGAAGAGTTAGGAGTGAGAATCTCCGGTTACCCCGGCCGGGGGGGGGGAACCCCCCCTTGTTCGATGATGGTGATGAAAGTTTTTCCCGATTCATCTATTTCTTGTTGGACAGCATCCGAACTTTCAAACGGTATGCACGTTACATGGCCCGGTCCCGAAAGAGGAGGAGTAGAGACCACTGCCTGTTCTTTTTGTTGGATTATATTGTAATTCCACGCGGTGATTATTCTCTTCTCTCTCTTCATGAAAGACAGCCAACCATTGGCACCATTGATCCACGTCTACCACCCAATAGACCACTCCTTTGACAAGTCCAACTGCCTAAGTCAAAACAAACAGATTCAGATTGTGCAGAAAGATAAGAAACAAGACTAACGAAGGTGCCAAAGAAAGAACCTTCCATACAGGTTTCTCTGCAGCTGTCCGACACGTTCGTTGGTGCGTCGATTGAACCATGATTTCTTTTTCGACTGGGCTAAGTCATGTGGACCCCCTAGAGACAGTCGTTTCTTAAATCATTTATTATTAAGTGTACGGAGTAAATCGTCATTTTTCTTCTTGCATCTTGATTATGCAATGCACCTGCAGAAGGGCAGGACAGAAAACGGTCCGTGTAAGTGATATTGTTGCCCAAAGTACGACTTTCCTGCCATCACACGAAAACGTGCAAATACAACATTTCAATCAGTAAGCAGCGTAAGAAACAGTAAAAGTATTCTTTGTTGATAGATGGGTAGGCTACGTCAACATTGAGACAGACGAACGTCCAGAAGCGCGCGAGAAACCCGGTATCCGAGACATTCTATTTCCCTTAGTATATCTTCAATCGTGAATTGGCGGTAAAAGGTAGCTTGTCTCGTTTCCCGGATTTCTTTAATCTTATTTTCCAGGAATCAGCTCAGTCAAAGAGAAAATGCTGTTGGTGGGCAAGAAGCGCCAGCCAGCGAAGACCACGAGAGACATTCTCATTAGGGCCAACTATTCCTGTTTAGGTTAATCGAGACAATCCTCTCGAGGAACGTCATCCACGACGAAAGAAAATCATTTCGGCCGGGTGGACTTGACCATCGGGAGACATGGATGGATGGAAGGTCAAGTTCAGGTCGTTATCTCCAACCAGGATGATACTAGTACCACGCATAAATACTTAGTCAGCCGTGCATGACATGCATTTTTTTTATGCACAACATCGCCGATGTAGCTACGCCGGACAGATTCTTGGAGCAGTCCTTGCTTTGATTCCGATACTACGGTATATCCACTACTCTATCAATGATTACCCCTGAGCGCAGTGACCAAAACAATCAGAAGGAGATGCCTGCTAACCATCACTGTACAAATACACAGGAGTACAGGCCCTCCATTTCATCCTTGCTATTTTGTCGGGTTCCTAAAACAACTGGGAGCACTTGTGCGACCCTCTCCATGGGGAATAGGGGTGCCATCATCGACGATGCTGTTGGGACGCAGGAACACACGAGTACACACGTTTTGACGCTATCTGACCTGGTGGTCCCGAAATCATACCAGAGACAGATCGGGGTTAACGAATGCGCAGCTGTGTGCCGCAAGGGAGATGCTGGATGATACTTGGCCATTACAATGATGCCGTCGGCAAAATCAGTAACAGCCTCGAAGCTCGCACAGCCTAATGGTGTCGGCCGAGGTTCAAATCGAGCATCCCTATGACCTCCCCGGGCTCCAGTCTAGTGGAGTTCTAGAACTCAGTGTGTAATCACAGCAGGTTTTTTTTTTTTTTTTGGTTTTTTGGTATCATCTTGAATATAACTTCTGCATTCTTTTGGCCTTTTCCTGCACTATCCCCGCCATGCATTCGGAAACCCAATCGGGCATTTTTGCATAAAGGGGTTCGAGGGCTGACATTCGAATAAGAAATAAAGACAGAGAAAGAATCCACGCATAACAAAGGTCCCATAGAAAACAATAAACAAGTAAAACATACACACGAGAAAGTTAGGGACGAAAACAAAGGGAAACAAGAAGAGTAAACGAGGACACAAGAGGAATTGAAGCCCTCTTTTTCATCATACACACCGCGGCCGTCCCTCCTTAGACCACGAACATCTCCGAGCGAATTGCTGTAAAAGGAAATGCTGCATCACTTCGGATACTCTTGACCCTACCGCAACATAGCCCACCTCAACGCCACTGCCATTGGACCATCCAATCTCCCGACATTTGTGTCAAACAAATACTAGCAGCTTTCAGGTTTAATGCAGTGTGCGTACCGCTTAGGCTGCCAAGAGAGGCTCCCTTTGTTCAGCGGGTTCGATGGATTCGTACACGAGTTCTTCCTTCGGCGCTTGGGGAAAGGCGGATGGCTTAAGCTCGGGCTCGGCACTGAGCTCCTTCTTGATCACAGGGCTAGACACCTTTCTCAACTCGGGAGACGCGGAACGCGGGCGGGGAGTAATGAAATCCGAGGCCTTGTTGCTGTAGTCATCCAAGTACTGCTTGACGATGCCTGTCGCGTGGGCCGCTCGCTCCTCGACGAGGTCCTTCAACTGATTGGCATGGGATTCAACGATCGACTGGGCTTCTTCGATACGGGCGTCGATGACCTCACTGTGGTTCATGTAGGTGAGAGGACCGAAGTAAGCAACAGTGACGACGATGAACGACAAGCCCCAGAACGGAAGGAACTTGATCAACCAGTAGGCGTTCAGAGCAGCGAAGAAGGCCTGCGAAATTGTCAAAACGTCAATCATACTGGACACCCCGGGTAACAGAAACATACAGCAACCGTGTGAGCGATGTTCTCGACAAACAGAACACGCTGGAATTCGAGCAGTCCAAAGTCAAGAATTTGCACGAGGTCTTCCAGGATCGCTTCGATGGTCTCCCTGGGGACAGTGTAGTACTTGCGGGGACGGAACGAGCTCGAAAGACCCTGACCGAAAACCAATCTACCACCGATCTCGAATGCCGCGGTAACTACCCCCTATCAGTAACTGAACCCAACACACAAAGATAAGGTATCCACATACATCCCAAAACAACGTAGGCCAACTTGAAGACCCAGCGAAGAAGAGGCAGGTAACGGGCGGCAAAGATGAAGGTGATCACGCTGATATAGGAGGTGGCCGTAGCGCGAGGTTGTTCCCACTGCATGACATGATTTAGCTCGGTACTTGACACGGATCGCATGTGAACACTTACGCTCAACAGACTGTACAGCAGAGAGTGGTAATCTGTGTATCGCAATAATCAGCCAAAGTCATTGCAGCAGCGGTACCCTTCCGTCACGTACAGGTCAAGGGTTGTCCGGTCGAGGCAGTGCTCGAGGGAGTCACTCTGGAGTTCTTGAGGTCACGGAACTCATTCCCGGTACGGGATGCCTCGGTCTTGATGTTGTCCATGATGGGTCCTACAACCATGGTCAGAATTTTCGCAGAGTCACTTATTCGTGTCTCCTACCGTTGGTAAAGACGTCTTTCGCGTCTTGAATTCAGTCAGTTTGTGTCACATTCACTCGCGAGAGGTCGGAGGAAGGAGGACGGAGGGGTTTGATTGGGGATACATGGTTTACTGTGGTTCAAACAACTCCAGTCAGCACGTCTGTATATAGCTCTAATCTTCAATGTAGGAGAGCATACCTTACTGTTCCCGTTGGGGTTGGGATAGCTCACGTCACCGGCGCTGGTCATGATGTCGGAGAGAGCGGAGGTTCAGGAGAAAAAACAAGAGAAGCTGCCCAACTCGAAGGCGGTGAAATTAGTATTAGAAGAAAGTAGTAAGACAGAAAGTGAATGCAGAGTAGAGAGCGTAAGAAGAGAAATAAGAAAGGAAAGAAAGAAAAGGATTGGGACGCAGTGAGATGCGGCTGGAGAGGAGTCGAGAAGAGGAAAGAGGGAAAATTGTTCTCTTAGGGGCGCTGTGACTTTCTGTGATGCAATCCGTCCGCTGTCGCGTGCTCACTCTTGTATACTGCAATCGACACAGTATATGTCTATTTCCTACACGGAATATTCTTTTGTATAATTCTCTACTATTTAATCTTATGTTGTCTTGACTCCCCTTACAGCACACGTCCGCGATCCGATCTTGCAGAGACAGCGCAATGACACGCACAGGTTCACTTATGGTACACCACAGTACCATGGCTCTGAGGACGAGAGCAAATCAGGATTCCCTAATAATGAGTTTAGCTGATTCAATGCCTTATCGAGACCGGTTGATGTCTGTTTGCATATGATCCTCGGCCTTTTCAAATAACCGACGGTCGGTCCTGGAATGTTACATCGTAGATTCAGGATCTTATTATTGTAGGATTAATTGGCAGGTATTATCAAAGTCGTCAATTTCTGCGGCTGATAATTAATGGCTATTCCCTGACAGCTCATTCGGTTACCTGGCACTTGCACTAATGCGGAAAATTATAAACAATGACGAATAGCTATCTCGCGGAGAGTCCGCGAATACTCACCAACCACAGCGTTGCAAACATGCTATATGCGGTTTAGCGATCGGTGTAGAATTCTCACAAAGCCTGTCTGCATTTCATTTCAATGCTCAGGTTTGCTGCTGTGCATATTTCACCCAACCAGTCAAGACCAGGCACGCCCGGAATTAAATGCACTCATCCCATTCGTCTTTCGCTGGCTAGATCAACAGCCAAAGTATTCAGAATATCACTTGTTCAATTCCCGTCGACGGAAATACGGGTTAATTTGTAGACATCCCGCCAATCTTTAAACCGGACCTTATACTAACCCAATAACCCCTCCGTAGCCAGCACAATCCTCTTGGCTCCTTGGCTCATTGTTTTACTCCGAAGCCCATCCTCCAGTGGCCCCTAACTGCCCGCCATTACTCAATATCCGTCATATGTTTCCGACCCGAAACGCGGGGTTCCCCGGGCTAGCATTGGTCAATTCGAATCGCTTTGTCCCGTTAAGCTTCCGAACGGACCAACACGACATGTCGGATCAGTACGTACTGAATAGAGGGTGCTCTGATACGTGCTTTTGCTCTTTTGACGGGGAATTTTGGGGCCGAGCCCCCCCGCATTTCGGAAGTCGATCTGCGGAACTGATTATCGGGTGTTGTACGGAAGAGGAACTATATAGCTGGGAATGTAGACGCGCTGGCAAGGATTTGGATGGCCAGATTTACTGTACAGTCATTTGTTCTTTATACATCTTTTGAAGTATTATGACACGGCCTACTTCTCATGTTGACGTCCTCATTGTCGGCGCTGGCCCGGCAGGACTCATGCTGGCGAATTGGATGAGCCGCTGCGGAATCAAGACACGCGTGGTAGACAAGCGTGGTACCAAGGTATCTTCATCAATTCTTTTCCCAATTGATTATGGTATACTAACGCTGCATACCATGCAGGTCTTCAACGGCCAAGCAGACGGCCTCCAATGCCGAACCCTGGAGATCTTCGACTCCTTCGACTTCGCCCAACGTGTCTGGCAGGAATCAAACCACATGCTAGAAATCTGTCTCTGGAACCCAGACAAAAATGGTAACTTGCGCCGCTCAGACCGTATTGCGGATACAATCCCCGGGATTAGTCGATTCCAGCAAGTCGTCCTGCACCAAGGCCGTATTGAGCGGTTCTTCCTCGACTCGATCAAGGAGCACAGCGATATCACCGTTGAACGGGGAGTACTGCCTACTTCGTTCGACTTCAACGTGTCCAAAGCTCGCGATCCCACTGATTATCCGATCACCGTGACGCTCAAGACGCTCTCGGACGAAGAAGCCACACCCCAGCAACAACGGAAGTCCGCCAATGGCACCGTCGTGGATGACGGACTTTTCCGCAGCAACCTCGCCCCAGACGACACGGAAGACATGATTCGCTCAGCGGAGCAAAGTAATCGCGCCAACCAAACAGAAGAAGTCAAAGCCAAGTTCATGGTAGGCTGTGACGGCGCTCACTCTTGGGTCCGGAAACAACTCGGGTTCAGTTTGGAGGGCGACTCGACGGACTATATCTGGGGCGTGCTTGATATTGTCCCCATCACTGACTTCCCTGATATCCGAATGCGGTGCGCTATTCACTCAGCCAATGCTGGGTCCGTCATGGTTATTCCGCGGGAGAATAAGCTTGTACGGTTGTATATCCAGCTGCAGTCGACGGATGTGGGAGGAGGGAAGGCAGACCGGTCGAGTATCACCCCCGATATGATCCTTAAGTCCGCACAGCAAATCTTGCATCCGTATACACTTACTTATGAGTATTGTGACTGGTGGACGGCATATCAAATTGGTCAACGCGTTGGAAGTAATTTCTCATTGCAGGATCGCGTGTTTTTGGCTGGTGATGCTGTTCATACGCACTCCCCTAAGGCTGGACAGGGAATGAACGTTAGCATGCAGGATAGTAAGTTGCTTTTCAAACTCGAATCGAAGTTGGTAGCTAATGAAGTGTCCAGCATACAACCTGGGCTGGAAGTTAGCCCATGTGGTCAAGGGCTACAGTGAGCTCTCGATCCTAAAGACATACCAGTCCGAAAGACGACGAATCGCACAGGACCTGATCGCATTCGACTACCGCTTCTCACGCCTCTTCTCCGGCCGTCCCGCCATGGACGTAATGGACGAAGAAGGCATTAGCATGGAAGAATTCAAAAATGCCTTTCAAAAAGGCAACATGTTCGCCAGTGGGATCGGTAAGCCAACCCAGGCGAGTAAATCCCCCATTGTACCATTCTAACAAAAAAATGGCAGCCGTCGACTACGGCACCAGCCTCATCGTCGCCAAACCCGGCTCCTCAGCCGAACAAGGCGACGGAACCGACGTCTCCAGTCAAAGCAAACACCGCGTCCTGAGCAAACAACACCTCGCAAGCACCATCCCTGTCGGACAACGTATCCCCAGCCACAAAGTGCTCAACCAAGCCGACGCGCGTCCATGGCATCTACAAGAGCTGCTCAAGAGCAATGGCCGCTGGCGCGTGATTGTGTTCCCGGGATCCCTAACCAATCAGACGAACATGGCCCGCTATCAACGACTGGGTGAGAAATTGATTAATGCAAACTCGTTCCTTCGGAGATACACGCCGTCAAATTTGCCTATCGACGGCGTTATCGAGGTGCTTACCGTCCATGCTGGGCCGCGGTGGGATATTGAGTTGTTGGATTTACCGGATATCTTCCATCCGTACCATGAGAAGATGGGGTGGGATTACTGGAAAGTGTTTGCGGATGATCAGTCGTACCATGAGGGTCATGGGAGGGTGTATGAAAATTATGGGATTGATCCGCGACAAGGGGCCAGTGTGATTGTGCGGCCGGATCAGTATGTTAGTTGGGTTGGGGAGATGGATGATTATGAGGAGATGGAGGGGTTCTTTTCTTCATTTATGAAGGAGCAGCAGGGTGTGACTCAACAGCAGCAGGCTGATGGGCTTGTTACGTCTGTTTTGTAGAGTTGATATAGCCCCTTACACGATTGAATGAAACCAGAAGAAACATAATGGTATTTCTATCGATTACAGTGAATGGCTTTGAGGCTCCGGATTGGTCATTAAGACACCATGTATGACTCTTGGATTAGACTTCATCTTCTCTTCTCTCTTTCTTCCTTTCTCCTCTCTCTTCAATTCTCTGTTTGCTACGATATAACGAAGTTCCCTGCAATAGCCTGGTACAATGATACCAATACGACTCCTGTACTATATCTAGCCCCAACCTTCCGAATTACTACTTCACGACACCCTGAAGGGCCTCACGACAAACCCTTTATCCCTATGGTTGCAAGTATCCGCTTGGATATTGATAAACAAGCATCCTTCCACCTTTAGCAACCAGAGCAAACCAAAGCAGGGGGTCCTTGTACTGTCGACAGAACCTTATCAACACAGACCAGGAATAGAATGGCAAACGTGTCATTCTGTGCCTTCTATATGTAAATAGGTAACTAGTCCATAGGGTTAAGGGCCTAGGGGCGCAAGAGGCCCTTCGAGAAGTATGTTACTAATGGCAACCAACAGTCTCCTGTTTTAAAATTAGCAATGGGATTGGGATCTTATTCGTGATAGTGCCGAGATTTGACTATGCAGAAGTGAAGAATGTGTGGGCATATGATATATTTGACCAGAAGTTGCGGGCCACTGATTCCCAAAACAGCGTCTTGGAATTCAGAAACATGCGAGTGATATTAGTATCTCAGTGTTCCATAAGCTGATGGTAAAGATAGCCAATCCCAGGCATTCAGCCCTCTGCTCCTGTCGACCGGGCAGGGATATTAACTTTGCATTCTCCCTATCGCCCTATAGACACTCATTTTCTTCATCACGAGCTTGTGAAACTGGGCGACTGGGCAGTCAGACTTGGCTAAATGAGAGACTCGCATCCGAAGTTTTTTACAGGTTGCACGCGACAAGGAGCTACAACAGCACACGGAAAATAGCACCGTAGATCGGAGCCTGTAATGAGGCTCATCCCACTCGGCTGAGTAGGGAAGATCAAGCCTAAACAGGACATAATAGATACGGAACGATGTTCTCGCTGAAAGTATGCGCGCTGGATACTTGACATATTTTCAAATTGTCATTGGAAAACAGGTTAAACGTCGCCATACAAGGCAGTGAAGAAGTATTCTCTGAAAATCTCGGCGTAAAAAGTAGCAGAACTTCTGGGTCAGGCTATGGAACACTCAGAAAAAAGTCAGCAAGAACGCAAGGCTTGACCAAAAAGCCTCCATTACAAGTGTACATGGCACAGTTGTAAAGCTCACCACTGCTAACATCACGAGGGAATATCACCCTACGATTCACGGGTACCAGAAACTGTGTGTGCGCCGATCAGAGGCGTTTGACTTACGGACAAATAAGAAGATGAGGCTCTGCACAGGCTCATCAGGCTTTGGAAGCATCTACACAATGGCTACGCGAAAAGAGTTTTGATGCAAAGGCGTTGGGAAGATTTCCGTTTGAGCTCTAGTGCTTTGTGTTAAGTAACCAGGGAACCCTTTTACGAGCGCCTGTTGATTGAAGATCACATGCTTCTGGATGGCATACTTCAAGACCCTTCTTTGGATGTAAAAATTTGCACACTTATCAGTCACAAATAACGTGAATAAGGAAGGCATGCATATGCATAAGTGTCGTTTATACAGATTACCCGTTAACGCCCAATAGACTTATGCTACTTATGCTTCCTCCTCTTTCCTTCTTTAGGTTAAGTCTCTGTTTGTTCATTTGTCCGAGGAATCTGTTGTTCCCCTCATTTGCCAGAGATTGAACATCATTGCAAAGCGGTGCATGTGGACATGTTAACCTTTCCCGGTAGAAATACGCAACGAAAATAATAATATCATTTGCTCGGATTCTCGAATTGGAATGATGATCATGCGAGATGAGGTTGGTTTCAAGGGGACAAGTAGTGCTCCGATGCATTTACCCCCTCGGCAGCAAACATAGGGATCAACCTGGAGCGGTTACATTAAAGCCGTTTACAAGTGGTACTGACTAGGATGAATTGTACTATATAAGTGGTCTATATTTCTGACTTCAAGCAACGGCATCATTTCTTCATACCCTTCTGACGGATATACTATACCATACGAAATGGGTCGAAAGATCTCCAATGTCTCTCAATTCAACGACAAAGTCAATGATCCCCCAAGGCCTCTAACTGGGTCCCCATCGCCAATGAGCCGGTCCTTACACCGCGCAATCTCCACATCGTCTGCGATGGTGCTGGGTATGCGGGTCTGATGGTTGCGTACAAATACAAACACGAATACCACATGGACGATTTTGTTGATCTGGCCATCTATGAGAAAAATCCCGACGCTGGAGGAACGTGGTTTGAGAGTCAATATCCGGGACTTGCGTGTGACGTATGTCTACCCTATCAATTGTGGTATAAGAAGAGGGGAGAAGGCCTAACTGAGATAGTCCCCCGCGCATATCTATACGTTCCCGTTTGAGCCCAACCCCGATTGGAGTAAACTTTATGTTTCCGATCTCGAGATCTGGCAGTATATTCGCCGGATGACGACAAAATATAACCTTGATGAACATGTGCGGTTCAACTCGACCATCACATCGACGATCTGGGATGACAGTATTGGCCGCTGGCAGATTAAAATTCAATCACCAGACGGTACGGAACTGAGGACATGGCAGATATACTCATCAATGGCTCGGGGATTTTGAACCGTCGGCGATGGGCAGACATCCCGGGACTACATTCATTCAAGGGAACACTTGTTCACGGCGCAGCATGGGATACCGATCTCGACTGGACTAGAAAGCGAGTCGCCATCATCGGCAATGGCTCATCTGCTATCCAAATACTGCCACGGACGCAACGTATAGCCAAGCACATTATGACTTATATCCGCAGCCCAACGTGGGTCTCTTCCAGCCCAGCGGTGACAAAGCTGGAATCGGACAGCGGACAGAATTTTACCTACACCGAGGATGAAAAAAAAGCAGTTTCGAGAGAATCCCGATAAGCTTCGTACGCTGCGCAAGTCCCTTGGGCACGAATCCAACTCATTCTTTGGTAACGTGATTCTCAACGATGGTCCCCAACAGGCTGCTGCGCAGGCGGCTTTCACTGAAGAGATGAAGATACGACTCGGTGGTGAGAAGAATGCGCACTTGCACGAGAAACTAATCCCAAAGTGGACAGTCGGCTGTCGTCGATTGACTCCCGGTAACAGCTACCTGGAGGCTCTTGTGAAGCCAAATGTAACGATTGAGATGAGTCCAATTCAAAAAATCACGGACAAGGGCATTGGCAATGAAGCATCTACTGAAAAATTTGATATCATCGTCTGCGCAACGGGGTTTGATGTTAGCTTCTCCCCATTCTGGGAGCTGGCGGGTAAGGATGGAATCCGTCTGGCGGACCAATGGAAAGAGAGTCCCGAGGCATACTTCGGCATCTGCGCCCCAAATATGCCTAACTATTTCGTCTTCAATGGTCAAACTGTCCCATCGGCCATGAAAGCGTCTTATCTTTCATGGACTGGATGGCGGATTATATTCTCCGTTGGTGTCGGAAGATTGCTATAGAAGACATACGGTATGTCTGGTCACCTTCAGTCCCTCCTGACAACAAGCTAATCGAAAACATAGATCTGTGCAAGTTCGCTCGGATGCCACTCATGACTATAATGTCTACACTCAGGAGTTAATGGAAGGCACCGCATGGAGAAGTGGCTGCCGTTCGTGGTATAAGAATGGTACGATAGATTGCAGGATAACTGCCATGTATGCGGGCAGTGTTATCCACTACAAGGAGATGCTCGAAAGCTTCCGCGCTGAAGACTTCAGCATCGGTTACCGATGTCCTAAACGATTCGGGTTCATGGGAAATGGAAGAACTATCCACGAGAAGAACGGAGGGGACCTGGCATACTATATCCAGTAAGGGCCCTGGTCCTAAGCCCTATGATTCGTTTCGTTTTAGGCTAGCTTTGATTACTCAGATAAATATCACGTGTTAATCTGGCGTTATTGATCTACAACGACAGCCTATCAATTTCTTCAATTTATTCTGGAAATTAGTCGATTATCACTAGCCAATTTAGCCCTTATACATTATGACATAGCTATCCGTGAAGTATGGCGGATAACTCCTACCCCTATGATACCGGTATAATCCGTGAACTGCTTAAGAATAAACGCAAGGTCCGCGGCATCCGCTCCTGCTTTCCATGTCGCCATCGGAAAGTCCGATGCGATGGCCAGGTTCCCTGTTCCAGCTGTGTTAAGCGCAGTCATCCAGAGCTATGCCGCATTCCAAATGCCGGATCAGAGGAAGGAACTCAGCAACAGCCAAGCCCGAGCAGTAGGTTCGATATAGAGGCATCCCTGTAAGTCGTCAATATGGAGGTAATAGACATGCTTTACTGAGGTCTTTGCGTACAGAAACCGTATCCTCGAAAACCCCCAAGTTCAATCGTCAACAGATAATAATATCTTAATTTCTCGGTTGGAGAAGATCGAGGAGCAGATCTCTTCACTCAAGGCTGATCTCCGCACAGCCTCGGCACCAGCACCACCAAGAGTCCGTGAATCTAGTGAAGGACAACAGTCTAGTATTACATCAACTCGGCTGGCAAGCAAATCCCCTGGGCACCATTATGTTGAAGACGCGACAGGCGCCACTATCTACTTGGGTAGCCGCTCGGACGCCCCGCTGGTCCTGGGTTGTCGACAGCCTGCTACGACAGGGGATGCAATGCTACAAAGCGCCATGATGGATCAATTTGTACCACGAGCATATCCATTCACGAATCTTTGGGGGATGGATGCGACTGCACGAAACGTGTGTGAGACTTTGCCGGATGATTCGGATATAATTCGGTATGCTATATCACGCGTTGCTATACGTAAGTAACATGAGGGATACATGTACTGATGGGGTAATTAGATACTGGCAAACTTACCAATCAGCTGTGTATCCTTTCTACCCAGCTTTGGTAACAGCGGACCAGTTTAGTCGATCTTTATTTGCGTTTCTGGACCAGCGAGCATCTGCTAGGGAGATGAACCGACATGTTGAGGAACCTAACAGCTCTTGGTTAGCTTTGCTATTTGCCGTGCTAGCATGCGGTGTACAGTTTTCAGATGATCCGATCAAAGAAAGGGATCTCAGGTCAAGGGTATTCGGTATGTACCCGCTCGAAACGAAGGTTCTGAATCTAACGGAAACAGTCTGCTCATCATTTCAGTGCTTACGCTTGTCCAACTTCTTCAATAATACCAACCTTGACCAGGTCCAGGCCATGGCTCTCATTGGTCATTGTTTGCGCAACAACCTGGATACTAACAGCGCATGGATTTTAATGGGTTAGTCAACTGGCCTGATCGCTGTGCAAACATTGACAATAGTAGGTGCAACGATTCGATTGGCCCAGAGCATTGGTCTTCATGAATCATCACTCTCTTTGTCGGCATCGGAACAACATCAACGAAATAGGCTTTGGTATGTCATGTAGCCAAACAAAGGTGTCATATTCACCAAAAAAAAAAAAAAAAAAAAAAAAGCCAACATCCGCTGACTATTATAGGTGGATGCTCATCTGGCAAGATACATTCCTATCCTTAACCTATGACCGTCCTCCAAGTGCCATAACTGGGATCTTCCCGATTCCTCTTACGCCCTACACAGAAGGTCTTACTTTCCAAGAATCAGTTTTCACGATTTGCAAGATTATTCTCAATCGTACACAACTGGAAAACTCAGGCGACTCACATCCTCCAATGGAAAGCGCACTTGATTCCAGAAGAGAGCTAGAAGCCATTTGGCCTACTGTTGCACCGTTTCTCAGAGATAAAAGCCGCTGCACAACACTGCAGCAGCATCTCGAACGGCTAGCCCTGGGAATCCACCTTGGCTATGCCATTTGCCGGTTTACTTGGATGTATATGGACTCCGTGAGGCAGCAGCTCACTGTCCTTCCTGATACCATTGAAGATGCTGTGCAGCAAGCTATAAGACCGATCGAGGGTTTCTTGGATCTACACCGGTTCTCCTCGACTGTATGTCGGTCCTGGGCTTTTGTGCATAACGCGGTGAGCTGCGCGATTACCTTGAAGAGCGCGGAACAAATGCTACCAGAGGAGACTAACAGGTCAGAAATTATCATTCAACGGCTTATCGTGGTTTTGGAGAAAGAGGAAAGAGAGTCGGAGTGGGTTGATACCGACACGAACGTACGGCATTTCGGACCGTACTCGCGGGCGTTGAAAGCGTTGAGGGAAATTTATCACGATACGGAAACGTGAATCATTATTGTATAATTTCCCTTATCTTTAGTTATTTGCATCTTTCGGTCTATGTCTATTCTATTTATATGGTTGATCATTACACGCGACGTTTCGCTCGAACATAGAAGTTTAAAGGCCGGATCAACTGAAACTCAGGATCATAATCGATCGCATCCAAACCCTCCCGAACAAACTCATATCTGCTCACCAATTCAGACAACAAAACCTTAACCTCCAGCAACGCAAAGTTGAACCCGATACAGCCCCTCGGTCCCGTGGCAAACGGGACATACGCGCAGCGATGTCGATCTTTCATCTCCTGCGTATCCCATCGATCAGGATCAAAGCGGAGCGGATCCCGCCAGACCTTGGGATTCGTGTGAATAGCATACAATGCCGGGACGATCACACTGTCTGGTGGTAATCGGTAACCACCGGGGAGGATAACCTGTGTTTTTGTCGTGCGGCCGGGCTGGAATGAGGCGTTGTGCAATCGTTGCGTCTCCTTGACAAACTTGTCTAGGTATGGCATGCTATGAGCAAGGTCGGGTGTCCAGGTCGTTTGGTTGCGCTCGCCGTTTGGTCCGACGATACCAAACTCAACCAGTTCTTGATATAAACGCTCCTGTGTATCCTCGTACGTGGCAAGACAGTAAATCAGCCATGACATTAGGGCAGATGTCGTGGTGAATCCGGCACCGGTTACGATGAGCATATTTGCCAGAATCAAACCTTCCGGGAGACGTTCGCCCTTTTCGTCAAGGGCGTGGTGCAGGTAGTCGACCACGCAAGACGCGGACAGTGCAGCTTCGTTCATAGGAGCGTCCTTGGTCGTAGACGTGGCGCCAACCTCATCGATGGCTTCTTGCAAAAGCGAGTAGATCGTATGCTGGACCTGGCGCAGGCGTGCGGGGTCTCCCCAGGGCAAATGACGGTACCACTCTCCACGAGAAGTGATCTTCTTATTCAGGGAGAGTAGGCTGGCAATGTTGGTGACAATGGGGTGTAAAGGTGCATCGACCGTGTCGAAGTGGCCGAAATCAGTACCTAATGAGAAGGAACTGATCGTCTGCGAAGCCAGCTTCACCATATACTGGTACACGTTCCAAGATTCCCCGCGGGAGTCCAGCTCGTCGAAGACTGGTAACGACTTTCGCGCGCAATTCTGCATGAGCGAGGTATAGTGTCGCACAGCCTTGGGGCCCATAGCTGGAGGCAAGAACTTATGCGCCAAGCGCCAGTTCTCTGTCTCAGTGTCTCCAATAAAGATAGCCGTATTATCCTTAACGCCCCAAAGCGGGTGGTTCTCATTGATCTTCTTGGTCATATATGCGGACTCTGCAAAGGCGACAGCGGTAACTTTTGGGTCATCGGTGAGATAAATTGTCTTGCCCATGTTGGTGGTCTTGATGACAGGTCCGTACTTGCGGAATAACCGATAATGGTTACCCAGGTGATCGGGGTAGATCTCATAGTAGCTGCCCACGAGGGGAAGGCCCGGTGGTCCTTGAGGCGATTGTACGGCGTTGCCGTCTATGCGGAGGCCGACTGGGGCTGGGGCTGCGAGGACGTCTTGTACCGATGTGAGAGTTTCATTCTGCGCGTTGTTGAAGGAGATACCTGTCAGGTTAGCTACGGTCTTCAGCAACATGAAGGGAGAGGGCAATAAACACACCTGTTGGCTGTGCAACATGAAAAACACCTCCGACTGCTCGTTGCAAGTCTTCAAGTTTCCATCGCGAGTCTATCTCGAGTGTCTTTGCCGTGGCAATGTCGTCACCCACGAGGTAGAATTGACGCTGCATGATGGCTTATCACTTTCCCTGTCACTTATTGACTCTGAAATCAACCACATGTTGTAGAATATCATGTTTATATACTCCAGAATGGAGTACCGGGATAAAACATCTTATCCGAATAAGTCGGCCAGTCGAGCTGCATTTGCCCTGATATCCGAGACTCGTACGAATCTCGTCCGGTAGATCAGATGGTCGTGACAGCCAACGACAATTCAGTAAATATTTTTAGTATCCAATCGGAGTTGAGATGATCATTGTTTCCACGATCTAGCACCGTGCGAAGTTCGTACGAAATCCGCCCGGTAAATCGGCAAGCCATTGACAACGGTTACTCGGATTATGGATGCTATATAAATGTGTTATAATGGCTTAGGGCCTCTTATAGAAAACCAATTGCAGTATTAAGGAGATAATTGCAGACTATATGCCTTCGTTTACTCTGCAGCAAGTTCAGCAACACACCAAACCAGACAATATCTGGATTGTCCTTCATAACAAAGGTCCGTCTTTGTATTACTGGCCAATTGTCTTCCTTTGCTAACTCAATCAGTCTACGATGTAACAAAATATCTGGATGATCACCCCGGGGGTAAAGATGTCCTTCTAGAAGTAGCCGGTACCGATGCCACAGAGGCGTTTGAAGAAGTCGGCCATTCTGATGAAGCGAGGGAACAACTGGAGCCGTACTACATGGGGGATCTTCCAACAGAGGTTTGTTTTTCTTGATTGCTTTCTTTCGTGAAATGCTCTGACAGATCTTTCTTCACAGGAACAAGCCGAAGTCATTGAGGTCTACCGCCCCAACTTCGAACAAGTCTCGCAATCGGCCGTTGTCAGTGTCAACAAGTCTTCCTCCGGATCGTCAATACTCAGCACAATTGTGAAGCTTGGCTTAACAGGGCTTGTCGGAACCCTTGCGATTTCTTGTTATCAAAACGGACGCTCACTTGACAAGATCTTGTCATCGCTGCTCTCCAATTCCCTACCAAAGGGAACGCCAGGAACAACGGCTGGACAATTCTGGACCGGTGCGTGCATTGCCACCGTCGCACAGCTTTCCATCACACTGGGACTAGGAGTCTGGGCTGCCAGTAAGCTGGACGTGCAGCAAGAATTCACACACTACGTGCCACGACGCCACGCACAACCCGCACAACTTATTGAACTCCCACGAACAAATCTGCTCCCGAAAAAGCTTAACGTCCTCGACCCTCGCCAATGGCGCCCATTCACCCTCACACGCAAAGACGAAGTCGCACCCCACGTCTACTGCTTCGTCTTCGCCCTCCCCAACACAGATGACACCATGGGTCTTCCTACAGGACAGCACATCGCGCTCCGCGCAACTATCAACGGTCAAAGCGTCTCCCGCTCATACACCCCCGTCTCCAACAATAGCGATACCGGCCGCATCGAGCTCCTGATTAAAATCTACCCAAATGGCGCGATGACTCGCTACCTTGAGGACATGCAAATCGGCCAGACTATTGATATTCGTGGGCCAAAGGGTGCTATGCAATATTCTCGCCAGTACGCGAAACACATTGGCATGATTGCCGGCGGGACAGGAATCACGCCTATGTACCAGCTCATCCGCACAATCTGCGAGGATCCCAGCGACAACACCCAAATTTCCCTGCTATATGCCAACAAGACTGAAAATGACATTTTGCTCCGAACGGAACTAGATACATTCGCACAGAAGTGCCCAGAAAAGCTCCAAGTACGCTATGTGCTGAGCCACGCTGATGAGAAGTGGACGGGGTACAAGGGATTCATCAACGGAGATGTAATTGAAAGATATATAGCGCCAGCTGCGGAGGAGAATCGGGTGTTGCTTTGTGGGCCGCCGCCGATGTTGGCGGCTATGAAGAAGGTGTTGCAGGGGATGGGGTGGACGATGCCGGGGACTGTTGCTAAAAGGGATGATAAGGTGTTTTTGTTTTAAATAGTGGCGTAGAATAGATTGTTGGAGATAGAGAAAAAGTATATCACTATGTTGTCTGTCTACGTTGTAAACATTGCCACATACATAGTATAGCACTTGACCGTTCACACCGAAAGCAGCATGCACCCTCCATAATGGAACTATTGCCTAATTATTGATTGTTAATCTCATAATCTATTATGATGTCTATACATAATTATTCTCGTGGATGCTGTCTGTGTACATTGTAAACATTGTCACGTACTCTACTCTGCTTACGGTTCATATTAACACATACACTGTACGGAGTAGGTAACCCTCCATCTCTGAAATACCTGAACAGTCAACCGGTTATCTTATAAGCCATGTAATATGTCTACAGAAACATCAGACCGAATATACACCGGTACCAGTTCCACTTGATCCGCGCCGAAGCCCTACGCTCCCGCTCCGAGGCGTCTCCGTCCCGAGTCCGAGGCAGTCCGACGCCGTAACCATGATGTCGATGTCGATGTCTGGAAACCGGATACCGGCATCGGATAGTCGAGATGTATACAGTGCATACAGTGCATGGAGTATATATAGCAGGAACCCTGCAGTCGCAGGATATCCTTGCATTAGTATTTCACTATAGTCTACGACCGACGGAACAGCTCCTTCGCAGAAATAATGACTACCCCATCCAAAGAACGACCAATTATCCTCCTCGGTGCCGGGGTGCTAGGCCGTCGCATCGCCGCCGTCTTCCTCGCCGGTGGGTACAACGTGCACATCCGGGATCCTAGCAAGCAAGCTCTATCCGACGCGGAATCCTTTATCCACACGCAACTATCCTCGTTCGCAGCCATCCTCCCACAAAAAGGAAAGACCTCGCCAGGTTCGTTGCAAACATTTACGGAGATAGCACCCGCAGTGCAGAATGCCTGGCTCGTGGTGGAAGCCGTGCCGGAGAAGCTGGAGTTGAAACAGACGACATTTGCAGAGGTAGCTGCATCTGCACCAGCAGATTGCGTCCTCGCGTCAAATAGTAGCTCGTTCAAGTCCAGGTTTATGGTGGAAGAATTGGAGAAAGAAAGGCGCGCAATGGCGTTGAACATGCACTTTACTATGCCGCCGGCGATTCGGACGGTTGAGTTGATGACAGATGGTGAGACGAAGGAGGAATTGTTTGGGATCCTGAGTGAGGTTTTGAGAGATTGTGGGATGGTGCCTGTTACAGCTAGAAGGGAGTCTACTGGGTATGTTCCTTGTGCTGTTTATTCTCGCTGAACGCTGCTTGCTGATTGTGTAGGTTCGTCTTTAACCGTCTTTGGGCTGCTGTGAAACGAGAGATCCTCATTATTCTCGCTGAGGATGTTAGTACACCGGAGGAGATTGACCTTTTGTGGGAGAATATGTTCCAGTTGCCCACGAGTGAGCCGCCATGTCGGTTGATGGATCAGATTGGGCTCGATACGGTTGCTTTTATCGAAGACAACTACATCCAGGAACGAGGTCTCGAGGGCAAACAAACCGTCAACTGGCTACGTGAGAACTATATCCAACAAGGAAAACTGGGTCTCAAGAGCGAGAGTGGCGGGTTATACTCAGCAGGCGAAAAGAACAAGAAATCAGAAACAATATATCTTTTGGATGCCGGCTTAGGCGCAAACAATCCCGATATCAGCACCATCCCAACTGCCGGCCGGGTCCTCAAGTTCACTCCATCCTCCAATTCTGTCGAGACGTTGGTCAGCGGCCAGTCCCTACCGGATGGTATCGACATCTCGCAGCACTCATCACGCATGTTCTGGTCAAACATGGGCCGCGCCACATCTGAGCATGACGGCTCGGTGCACTCCGCCACTCTTGACGGCTCTGACATCCAAACAATTATTCCCTCTGGTGCTGTGCATACTCCGAAGCAGTTGGTTGTTGATGATGCCAAGCAGCGCGTGTACTTCTGTGATCGCGAGGGCATGGGTGTGCACCGGTGCAACTACGACGGCAGTGACCACCGCATCCTCGTGCAGACGGGTCTGCTATCAGACCCCAATGAGAAGGGTGACATGACCCGGTGGTGCGTGGGTATCACCGTCGACCCGACCCGCGGGTATATCTACTGGACGCAAAAGGGTCCCAGCAAATCCGGAAAAGGCCGGATCTTCCGCGCAAATATGGACATCCCTGACGGTCAGACGGCGGCAAATCGGTCTGATATCGAGCTACTCCTGGAAAACCTGCCTGAACCCATTGACCTTGAGCTGGACCAGGAGAACCAGGTACTGTACTGGACTGATCGGGGCGAGCATCCAATCGGATGTTCTTTGAACCGTATTAGCGTTGCTAGTGATAAGGTTAGTCCAGAAAGCAAGACAATCCTAGCACGTCAATTTCATGAGCCTATCGGATTGAAATTGAATGAGAAGAAAGAAATTATCGTGGCAGATCTGGGAGGAAGTGTATACCGTGTTGGCCAGGGGAAGACTGTCATTATGCACGACCAAGGAAGCTATACCGGAGTTGGCCTTTGCTCATAGGCATCATGTATTAATTAGATAGCTTGTAAATCATGCACTTAATAACTAGACTCAAGACTAAAATCAGGTCTGGCATGTGTAGGAATGCAGGGAGTGCAGCTGGAACAGATGTATGTCTCAGCTCATGTGTAGTTTAGTTTGTATAAGTTGACAGCCCGCAGAATTTCATTTGCGTCGACGATTCTCCTCTCCACCAAAGAGCATGAATAAATATGAATGTGTATCGTCTAGAGAAGTGCTTATAGGTGATGCTAAGGTTAATCCCGCCTGATGTGTCAGTTGATGATGTAATGTAATTTTTCACGTGACCATGGTCACGCGTTTGTTTTGCTCTTCCAACTCCGGAAAGACTGCCCACCAACATTCGACAACAACTTCGCACCCGACACTCCTGCCACAATCCGATGTCCCTGTCGCCTTTGAGGGACAATAATTCGCAAGGACAGCTTGTCTGCCCTTGAATTTTCCGAATCGACACCTACGCCCTTTAACGAATCACCGCCGCTAAAATCGCGTTGTTTACATCTCATGGCTAGTGGCGCGAGAGCCCAGAAGCCCGTTGGCTCTGCGGCATGGATTTCTACCGAGAAGGAAAATGTTTCGCAACTTGTGGAGCAGGAATTGGAGGAAGTGGAATATCCCGTGAGCCATGAGATGGATTGGTTGAATGAGCATATGGCAGAGATATTTGACAACAACCAATTGTGCGTTGCGATTACGGAGTCCTATGTCTTCGCGATTTTATACTGACTGCCGAAAAGCAATTTCACAGAGGCTTTCAAGACACCTGGAAAGTTACGGGGTAAGACGCCTCGCACTGCGCGCAAGCGGAACTTCGAAGAATCCCGAGTGGTAAGTTGCCGGGCCCCTTCCCATTGTTGACCACTGCCTCTTATGTGAATTAATGTCTCCGTTCAGCCATTGAGCGAAATATTCTCGTCTGTCCACAACCAGAAAGAGAATAAGTCCATCGCTAGCCCGACAGGAAAACGGTCGCCCGCGAAGCCTGCTGCTCCTATACCGACGAAAAACGTCAAGCCCACAACAGAGAATGCGCCGCAACCCCATTACCCTGACTTGAGTCAGAACCTGAACTCATTTCCCCAATATAACACGGACTCGGGCTATCATGGCATGGCAGACGATCATGGTGGTGACGACGTGGTTCTGACACAGACACAGCCAGAGTCGCAGCCATCGACACAACCGTTGGCGCAACCTTTGGAAGAAAAAGAGCCTACCCCAGAGCCGCTCCAGACACATGACACGGCTGATCGGCGTACAACAGAATCTTCGTTCCATTCGGCGCAGGAGGATAACCGCCAGCGCAGCGAGACGGTGGAGCCTGCGAACGATGTCCGGAATACAATGCACACAGTTGAGGTGCACCCCCCCAAACTGCAGCTCAAGGACAAGAAACCGAATGAAAAACCAGTCTCGAAGAAGCCTGAGTCTGAACAGGAACATGATTTTGAATGCGTGCCCGAGAAGGTCGCTAAAGAGCCCACGCGGAAGCCCGAACAGAAGCCCGAGCCGCCGAAGCCGACGCAGGAGCGTGAGCTTCAGCTTGAACAGAAAATCGAGTCGGAATCAGAAGAGGAGCTGGAACCCGAACAACAGCCTGAGCCTGAACCTCAACCCGAACCAGTTCAAAATACCAAATCGTCATCACCTGTGCAGACCCCTGCTACGCAGCCACCGCAGTCTGTACACGAAGACGATGACATTGGAATGGAGAAAGAGGATATGGCCCTTGATGATCTCGATGATGATGATATTGGATCGCCTTCAGATGGCTCGACACCCGAACGACCACCGATCCGTAAGAGTAGCTTGACATTCGCCTCGCTCCCTGCACGAGAACCTTTGACAAAGAAGAGCTTGGGGGGTACAAGGGTTTCCAGAACGAGTCATATTGGCACTGGCTTTCTTGGACGGCAAACTGGAGGGCATAGGACGACTCAAACTGCTCTGGAGAACACATCTCAGGCTCAAGGCGATAAAATGGAAGTTGACGATGATGCTGAACCCACTCGCGATGGGCCAGATGCTGAGACGAGGTCGAGCAAGCAACACAATAAGTCGTCTACGCAAAGGCTCCATGAAAAGATTAGCATGCTGGGCAAACTTCAGCCATCACGACCTACAAAGTCAATTCCATCCGTGTCAGGCTTGTCCTCGGCACAGGTGAACTACCCTGACCTGCTGAAGACAGAGACAAAACCTGAGGTATCGGATCGAAAATCACGCGAGACCCCGGCCCCTGAACCCATGACGACTGACGAGGATGAATGGATTAAGCCTTCTATGAACACTCCTCAGCGTCCAAATATGGCCAAAAGTCGGACCATGGACATCATGGATAGGACTAATCAGGCCCCCGAGAAGGATGACACGGTCCATAACCCTGACGTGGGTGGAAACCAAATGGCAAAACCTAATGAGAATCACAGTACTGAGATGAGCCGTCCGAAATCCACGACACCGTTGTACACGCCACCTCAACAACCAAGTCACCAGAAGAGTGCATCCGCGTCGAACTTGAACGCTGGAGTGTCGACAACTCCAGCAGGTTCTCCCAAGCCGCAAGATGTGCCTGTGAGTGCATCTAAGTGGAAGCTACAATCGATCATGAAATCTGCCAAGGGTCTATTCTCTACAGCCGGCGGTGTTTCAGCTGCAGCAAGGGCCGAGGTTTCATCTCCAACCGAGGAGCGAAAACAGCCCGAGGAGCGCATCAAGCCTCAGAGTCTGAACCGCCAAGAATCTCAGTCCGCTCAGGAATCAACAGCACCAAGGCCGGAAGGTCGCAGGACACGCAGCTCCACAGAACGGGAGGAGAAGCGCAGGCAACAGGAGATTGAGGAACGTGAGCGGGAAGAGCAGGAAGAAAAGGGAGAAAAGGAAGAAAAGGCTCGAGAGCAGGAGAAGCAAAAGGCAACTCAACTCAAGGCCGCCCGGGAGAAGGTTTCACTTGAACGTGAAGAGCGCGCAGCTTCCGTCGCACCGAGTCCCAAGAAAATACCGCAACCACAAAAATACGCATCCAAGGAACCCGAACTTGCTTACGAAACGGCCTCCAAGGCCCCAGCGCCTTCTTCCATCCCCCAACAAAAGCAGAATGAGCGTCGTCCCGTCAAGCCCACTAGGGAGACCCTCCAGAAACCAAAGCCTCAGCCAGTTTCCATCCGTGTCGGTAGTGCTCTTTCTCGGCAAATCCCTATGGCGTCCGGTTCAAACGTCCAAGAGTCAGCCGCCGCTGCGCCCACTCCTGCCTCTGCTTCGAAGCCGTCAACGATTAAGAAGAAGGCTAGCAATAACTCATTACATACAGCATCTTCGAACAACAGCCTTAAAAACTCGGTGTCCAGTAACTCGCAGCGCAAGGTTCAACTTGCCAGTGAGCGAAAGAGGGAACAGGAGGAACGTGAAGCACGACGCAAAGAGGAACAGAGACGTGAGCTAGAACGTAAACGCGCCGCTCAACAACAGGAAGAATCACGTCGTCAAGAGCTTCGAGGCCGTGCAGAGGCTGAGCGTCGGGAACGCCAGGCGTCTGTGGACCCCAAGAAGGCTGCTCATATGCAAGCAATTGAAAAGCGAAGGCTGGAAAATCAACGGAGGCTCGAAAGGCAGGGCAGTCAACAGCCCGGCGATACGGTGAGTAAAATACACCTCACTCTAAGTGTAATCTCAATTTGCTGATTCGCTTGTTACAGAGCGTGCTGCACCAGCCCGAAAGACCAGCTTCGCAAGCGTCCAGGCCGGCTTCGCGATTGGGTTCGATTCAGCCGTTTGGTCGGTCCATTAACACCCCGCAGCCAAATCCCGCCAAACCACCTAAGCGGGCCATGGATGACGAAGCCAGCCACCGTCCTGCGCCTCCCAAGCCTAGTGTGATACCCCAGCCCGGCGATTCTAAGCGCAGAAGGACCGAGGAAGAACACAACCCCCCTCCGTCTGTGCGTCCGGCTATGGCTCCTCCGATCCGCCAATCCAATATCCGCAAAGTGAGTGCAAATAAACGTGCCAAACCGGTAACTATTGTGCTAACTGGTCTCAGGAACCCACCAAGCCCTCTCTTTTCAACGGACAGCGCACGTCTACAGCACCGCAATCCGGGTCCTCCATTCTCAAGACCGCCCAACCCCAGAGACCCGCGCATCCTCTGGACATGTCCAAGTATGCCAGCGGCAAAATTCCTTTCGCAGAGTCCTCGAACGCGGCGCAGCCGAAACCAGGCCCAAGCTCCGCTCAGAAAGCTGCCACCAAGCAATCACCGAAATACCCTAGCGGCGAAAGCATTGCTTTGCCCGAGATCGCCACGGACAGTGAAGACGAAGACTCCGACGCAGAAATGCTTCCTGTGCCTAAATGGGCTCAGCCCAGGGAACTCGAGAATCTCCTCCGGCAACAAGAGGGCATGGAAGTCGACTCGATCTTCGGACCCGTTGCGCCGTTCTCGCTCGAGGATACCTTCAAGGCCGACAAAAAAATCAAGAAGTTCCGCGAACGAACTAGTAGCGCGAACTGGTCTGGTGCTGATCGTCTGACGCAGGATGAGATTCGGAAGGATCTTGCTGAGCGGCAGCGGTTAAGGTTGAATGGGGGGTGGACTTTTGATACCGACTGATTTGACGGATTCTTGTCTTGCATTCTTTTTCGGTTGATTGCGTATTATCTTGGGATTGGAGTATGTGTTACATTATTATACCGGGCATAGCTGGTTGGCGTTGTATCTGCAGTTTAGGGTCACTGCATTGTTTATTGGGTTATTATTTAGATGATATTTACAACGCATTATATTCATCTTTATCTGACTTCATTCTGATCACGCAAATATGGATTGAGCTAGCAAGAGAAGCAAGATAAATAAAATCGGTGGGCAAAAAAAAAAAGTGCATCATCCGTGAATCGAACACGGGCCTCGTCGATGGCAACGACGAATTCTACCACTAGACCAATGATGCTAGTTGATGTTGTTTCTATTCTTATCTAAATATATATACAATTGACGTTTTTTATGGCAAAAAAAGTTCTACAATACTCTCAGATAAAGATTAAGGTGCTTGATAATATTGTCACCAGTTAATTCCCAGGAATCAGAAATGTGCCCTATTTACATGTTTGTCCGGCTTCAAATATGTGCGTTGTGATGTCAGATGCGATGCTACTTCGAGGGCTGGAATATATACATATCGCGATAGCAATAATTATTCCCCGAAAGCTAAGCTACTACACGTATAGCCACCTAAACTATCAGCCAAATGCTGACAGATCTAGATCATCAACTGCGTCAACTTCAATCTCTGCCGTAGGAATACCCTTCTACTCTGGAGATTGGGCCCGAGGCCAAACAACTTCCAGTACTTTCATGAAATCATCTTCTGCAACTTCCGATGTTTCCGCGCTAAATGAAACAGAAATCATGAATGTTAGTCAACAATCACATATCATCTTAGAACCACTCGTGCAATTTACTAAACGACGTACAAAGGAAGGAAAATCCCTAGGGCTGGAGTGCCGATAGCATTCTTCAACGAGGAATTCGTCATAGACGGTGCCTTTTTGACGGTGTGGATAACAGGGCTCTCGCTATGTTTTGATGGCCGGTTAGACAATTCTTCCCTTAGCCATAGTGAATTCTCACGTCATTGTATCGCCGCCGAGACGAGGACCTGCATCCTGGGTTTTAAGGCGGATATTCTATTGTAGAGAAGACGGTTAGTATCACTGTACGGTCTATAGAGATCAATTATGTATATATTAATGATAGAAAATTACGAAACCAACGTAAGCTAGTTACATAGTAATTCGATTAGTCAGATATTTATAAAAAACAAGTTATTGATATCGTACTTACAGGCATTTTGCTTGTCTTGACAGAATCAGCTATAAGACCGTGATCGTAATAAGAGAAAGAAGAGAAGAAGAGAACCAGAGGGGTTGACTATCTAGTATCTTAACACGGAACATGGATAGTAACTGCATAGCTACGGTGGCGGTTGAAGTGATGTCGTATCTACCATTTGGCAGGCCAGCTAGAGGAACATTGTTCTTTCCAATATGTCCGAGGATATATGAGCTGTGGTCGTTTGATTTTTGAGGCAGGCCTTCGTGAATCTCATCGAGCATGGATTTCGCAGCTGCCATGGTAGATTATGCTAGGTGTCTAGCCTACAGTGATGAGGAAAGTGGTAGATGTAATGGGAGCCATGCCCTACGGTTTCAGCTGAAAAAGGGCAAGGCTGATATGAGGCTTTGCGATGGCGTTTGCGCCCAGAAATGATCTGCGGTCCGATCATTTCTCTTGGACAAGCAAAGAATACTTGAGGTGTTCTACCGTCTTATATGGAGTGTCTGAAGCAGAAATACATTGAGATAGATTACCATTGACATTCGGAACATAGACTAGTGGAGTGAGAACTAACTTTGATTGAGCTCCATTACTTCCCACTTTCCCTGATAATCATAAGGACAGTAGAAACCCCTGAAGCTCTGTATGGCTCAATTTCGCGAGCTTCCTGAAACTAGGTTTCGACATAATGTCCACTCTGTTGATTATGGTCTCCGTCTTTGCAGATTCGCCTTTTGGTAAACTTGTTTGTTCTGAGGCCGGGCAAAGCGGTTTATCCTGTGAGTTAACATCTCATCTTTTGAATCCATCCGGTGTTTTTTTCTTCGACGTAGTCTCGTTGTCCAGAGAACGTTATCGAACTTTGATTTCGGATGATGTTTGATGATGTCCTGGGATCTTTAGGTAAGCAACCATGCCATCACTTCGATTGCCCTAAAAGAAGGCGGCAGTCCAGATAATCAATTACCCATCTTCCCCGACAACCTCCGAATATCCACTTCAGCTTTTCTTGCCTCCATTGAAAAACAGCTTTAGTCCACAGGACGGGAGAGAGATGATCTGCCACCTTTGACAGTTCAATTTTAGCCTGCATACCATGTTTGTTGCAGCAACTTCCAATGTTCTAGCTCTTCCTCCCAACCCACTTCAACCAACATTCTACAAATCACTCGCTTCAAACACGGTAGATGATCATGTAGTTCTCTGAAATGATAATGGTCACAGTTACGGAATTGACTCTGAGACTCCCAATCATTGCCCCCTATCCCTTCATTGTCCCGGTGCAGACATAGCTCTTGAAGCGTATAAGGTAAGATGCTTGCAATATTGATGGCATTCTCTGGATTGAACCCCAGGAGTAGGATGATTGGAACCTCTGCAGATGAAAGCCTTGGAAATTGCTTCAGGAAACATTAAGCTCAGTCAACCATCGTTTCTGTCCCTTTCTTATTGCTACCCTAAGGGGGATAGCTGGGTGAGCACTAATTGGGTGCAGGCGATTGAGGTGATACCTTTATACTTATTGTTTGCCATTTAAAGCAACCGGCATTCTAGTGCAACACGTGTTGTTGCTGACTTGATTTCAGGAAATGTGGATTCAATGTGATAACTACTGATATACTGATGACAGAATGGCTATAACTTTTTTTTTCATTTTTTTTTTTCAAGAAAATTTCCTTTTTGAGGGTTGCGAGGGCCGCAACAGTTTTCGTAAATTGGCTTTATTGGGAACCTAGTTGGCATATCTACCTAAAAACTTCAAGAATGCTGTGTACCATGCTTCTTTTGATCGTCAGGTTTCTGACCATATATGAAATGCGCGTACACATAGAGTTGCCTTCTCGTAGTCTTGAATTCCTCACGAGTCTTCGCAATGAGCACACGACATTCTAGCTCACTCCAACCTAAAATGCGAGTAAAAAGAGCCAGGGTCAATGGCTCAACTGATTCCATTGCATGTACCTGCATATACCGGCCAATCTCTTTGAGTTTCTCGTCTTTTGGCCAAGAACCAATAGGGATCTTCAACACATCTTCCTGCACTCTCACAAACCCAGCATCCTTCACCTTGGCTGCCAACTTCTCGATTATATTGATTGGTTTACCAAAGGAAACCGTGCCATCAAGCAGAGCGCGTTGCCATATTTGGATATTGGAATCCTCAGGGAGCTCGCCGTCCTGTGAATGGAACCAGACCCGGAACTCTTGAAGTTCAATATAGCCGCCTGGTTTGGTATGTCTGAATGCTTGCTGAAAAAGTCTATCCCAGTCTGCGATACTTCCGACCATGTTTCGCTGGTGAATGTAATCAAATGCTCCGTCCTTAGTATATGGCCATTCAGCCTCAACATCGTCGACGATGAATCTGCAATTGGGCGAGACCCTGCGAGTTGAACTATCAGTCTTCTGTCAAGAACAGCTAAGAGCAGTCCACGCTATACCATCCAGGCTGAATCGGACTCAAGTCGATTCCAAGAACATCCGAGCAGGGGAATTCATCGGCGATCTGTATAGCATAGATACCCGTGCCAGTCCCAATGTCCAGAATGCGTTGCGGTGAGTTGGAGATTGGGGCTTTGTAGAGATTTCCACCTAGCATCAGGCGGAAGATATGATGGACCATGTCTAGGCGATCTTGTTCGTCTTCGTCATTGGGGAAAAGATATTCGCCTTCTCGAAAACTATGGTAACGGCGGCCATTCTCGTATACATAGTCTATTACACTCGATGAAATGGAAGTAGTCGAGGATAAAGAGTCGTCGTCATCCACCGCGGAATCGGTGTCGAAAGATTCGGACTCAGCTTCGATGCTGTATCCTTGTAGCGGAACAGCTGCTGCAATAGGTTCGGGCTCAATTTCTGAAGATCGGATATTATTGACTGCCATAATAAGGTAATGATGAATTGAGGAATGAGGGACAGATAAACTGCTATTTGCACGAGTATTTGGCGATTTTTGCTTACGTGGCTGATCTAAATAAACTAACTGAAAAATAACGTATTCAACGGGCGAGCGGCGAATACGGCCGAAGTGCGAATTTTCGCCGCAACCATTACTTTTGAAGCTTTTCGACCACCAGCACAATTAGATTAAGCTATCTAGTAGTAGAATATACTGCTATTTATTAGAGACATTCCATATTTTATTTCTAATAATACCGCAGCCGTTGTATCGTTGTGAAACCCGCTTGCGAGGCCTAGATATACGCTCCTCAACCTGCGTATCAAGCTGTTGAACGCGATCCAGACCTTCCTATACAGATTAAAGAGTATATTTACCTAGAGTGGCATTTTTTCCAGCTCTCTTCCTATTTTCCGCTCATTCTGTGCATGCAGACACTTCTTGATGGAGAAGAGGTTTTATATTCATAGCCATCTGCGTAGCCTTCTCAAGGTTCTGTAGATGAGATACTGGGCTACTAGATAGCTGTCTCTTCTTATTAATACTTTTCATAGGTCGTGGAACTTGTGACCTAGCTGGCGAGGATTTTGAGGTATTTGAAATGCAGAGGAGATTGAGTCTTCTAAGGATGGTGGTTGTCACAGGCTCGGAAAGGAAATAGTAGATACTGATGAAATGATATTCCTATCTAAACTATTGTAGCCATCGACGAGAATATCGAGTCTGGAGAAAGAGATGAAAAGGCAACCTATCTAGAGGATAAAAGGGGGTTTAAGGACCCTGTCGGTGTCGTCTGTCATCATTAGTCTTACACATAGCGTCGAGCCATATGGACTGTCACGGAGCGCGGGCATTCTTGTCAAACATCTTGCGT